ATCAGGAACAGGGCACAGGGAGCTAGAGATAATCCAGCAACTAGAGGAAGTGATGAGCCTCCTTATAAAGGCTGTCTGACACCAGACTGAGGCTGATGTGTCCTTCTGCGGCCATGTAGAGTACTGGCAGAAATGCCAGATCTTCCAGAACTCCTGCCGTGGGCAGGACCCTGACAGATTATAAGTGTACCAGTTTTAATATATCCCCCCCCCATGTGTCTCGATCCAAAGCAAAAAGTAACACAAAATATACTGCATATTGGATTAGATAATGAATGCATGACTCCATCCTTAGAAATGCCATGTATCCATATCTAGAGTGCAGCCTTAGATTGTATGCCCCTTGAGGGTTAGGGACTGATGTGAATGTACAATATATATGTAAATTGACGGTGCTATATAAGTACCTGAAATAAATAAATAAATGTAGACATGAGCAGGGGCGGACTGACAACTCATGGGGCCCCCGGGCAATAGGGGATCATGGGGCCCCTGTGTCCTTGCCCAAACTCAAAAAAGCCTATGATAAAGGTACCAGGGGCATCTCATGGGGCCCCCTACTGACCCCGGGCCCTCGGGCATTGCCCGAGTTTCCAAATGGTCAGTCCGCCCCTGGACAAGAGGTAACTGAGAAAACAGCAGATCAACAGCCCTGAGATGCAACAGAGGATAAAAAAAACCACAAAAACTGCTGCTAATTGAAATAATTTCATTTTTTTTCTTTTATACAGAATTTTAGCCATTTATTATTTTATTATTGTTTAGTTCTTCTTCAAAATAAAAGGCCGATGTCTGTTTAATGCCGCAGGTATATTTGGCACAATTCCAAATACAAACATCCTACAATGACCAAGGAACAACAGCAAAATCCAGTGCTAAAAGTGTTAAAGACCGACATTACACTGGAACTTTATATGACAATTGAATTTTATTGATTGCCTATCCAGTCTTCAGCTCCCAGCTCACCACACAGAGGGAGTGAGGGGAGAGAGATTGCTGACACGTGTTAAGTTTGGATGAGCATTTGTTTAAGGCAGTGACCCTTAATCCACTTGTGTGTGCGGCCTTACACCAAGCAGTTTAAATTAACAGTGACACTGATGACAAATGTTATCTCGTTGGGTTGCTGTCAGCTTGGCGCTTGGTCACATGTTTGCACCAGTTTGTGTAGGAAGCATTTTTCAAAGAGTTGATGCTGCAGCCTTGAAGGTTACCCGATACCGGTTGAGCCAGCGGTATCACCATTCCTTCACAGCTTTTAAAGGAGAATCGGGGCTGGAATTAGGCTTTATCTCTAAGTAGCACGCGGTTTCATTAGCCATCGGGCTTAGCAAAATGATTATGGTAAACTGATGTTGCAGGACAAACTGAGAACATGCAAAAATGTATTTTTTAATGAATGTATATCTCATAGAAAATAACATATATTCTGTTGGCCTCTTTCTCTTGGGGAAAATAAATGCATGCCAATGTTTCAGAAATACACGTCACATAGTTCAGTAATAAATACAATGCATATGCTCTACACATGTGCACACAATGGAAATTTTCATTTAGTTTTGGATGCTTTTGTTCATTGAAGAATCTTGTTTTGTCAAATTCGTTATGCTGAACTGATTTGTTTTTGGAATTTGTTTTGTATCTTCGGTATTCGTTTAGTATATTCATCGGTTCAGCTGGATTTGTAAAATTTTGCAGCTTTTAATTGTTATATATTGTCGAATTGGATCAATTAAAATCAGAAGGATTTTACATTTTTGAATGCTAGTCCAACCTACCAAGGGAAATGGCATGAATTGATTGGACAAAATCGACTGGTGACATGTGCATCCGAACTGGAATGATTAGTAGTGATTCCATAATGAATGGAACGAAATCCAGATCTATTTGTTATCCGAAATCCAAATGATCTAACTAATTATAAAAATTGAATTCATTTCCCCATGGGCCAGAACATCTACATCATCTGAATGAAACCAATGCATTTGTTAATTTCATTAAAATTTTTGGATTTAATTGATATTTGTTACTTACATTCAGAGATTCGAATATATCAGAAATTTTTGACAGAAAAAATGAATCGTAACGAAACCTCATGTCTAATATGACGACGTCAATTGGATGACGAAACGCGTAGGATGGAGCTTCGACGTGTGACGTCATCATGTTTTTTGGAGGTACGGTGGACACTTTCCTGGTTGGAAATTTGATTCAAATGCTGGTAACCATCCAATACAATGTACGAGTAATACAATGCAATTGCACGAGTAACTTGTAATAAACAGGGTGATTTTATTATTTACTTACTTCACTATGAGTGGTCTTCTTCTCTTATTCCTTATCTAAATACTGGATGGGAATCATCTTTTAGGACATGCTTAGATCTTTTGAGAGGAAGGATGAAATCTATCTTGATGAGGATTGCCAGTTCCATGATCTGCACACATTCATCCCCCATTTGAGTTGCCTATATTGACCGGTGTGTTTCGGTCAGAATTTCTGGTAAGAGGCTGAACCATTCGGGTGTTCTGGTGATGGTGGACCGTGGGAACTTCATTTGGGACATTTTAAACTAGATTTTTTTTTATTAATTGGACTTTTTGTTTTTGATTAGCACTGCAATTTTGATTTATTTTCTATTCTGTATATTGCCTGATATGTGAGCTGCTTTTCTCTGATTTTTATTTCATGTTCTGTAGTCACATGATTATTGTATTTAACCAAGCGCAGGTTCATTGTTTTTTATAATACCCCATATATAGATGTACAACATAGCAAATTCAAATTAAAATATACATCAAATATTTTTCTCATGCGACTTATTCTGTATATCTGTCCACATCCATGTGATGAATAATGGACAAAAAGTCCTCATAGTAAGTCCTTTATGATAAATTAACTATATCCACTGTGTACTCTTTAACTTCTCATGCACTATTTCCCAAGTGAGTTCCACCACCATTCAGACTATGCGTTCATCTCATCTGTTTTGACCTAACAGAAAAAAATAAGTCACCTTGTGGATTCCCCTTAAGGGGTCTCATATGCCTTCTTAGGTTGCCTCTGGATATTTCCATCTGGTCACCTCTTTTCCTCAGCTCTTGTCAATAAGAACAGCCATATGCCATAATACACTTCCATAACACACTCCTGATAACTCCTCAACTCAAAGGGAAAAAAACTTTCATTGTTTTTTTCCTCATAAAAATGCCACTTTATTAAACAACACTTTATTACCACATTAGAATAGTGCCCTAAATACTAAAAGGTATATTGCCCCCTTAAGATAGAGACCTTTGCATTACCTCACAAGCATTCCAGTGGCCACTTCTGGGCAGTGTGATGACGTCATACTTCTGGGCAGTGTGATGACGTCATACTTCTGGGTAGTGTGATGACGTCACTAGGCTCAACCTAGTGACCTCTAGACTTATGCACTTTGCTTCATTATGATTAGTTTTTCAGCTATAATTTAATTTGTATACATCCGAATCTCTGAATAGACATCGTAACGAATGTCAAAGAATCCAAAACAAAATTATAATGAAATTAAATAATGCATTTGTTTCATTTGTTTAACCACTTCCCGCCTGGCCTATAGTAAAATGACGGCTGGGCGGGACTCTCGTAGATCCGGGAGGGCATCATGTGACGTCCTTCCGGGATTGTGCCTTACGCGTGCCCTCAGGGACGCGCTGTGGTGACATCTGTCAACGGCTGTGTACCTCGGACACAGCCGAAGACAGATCTGTGTATCGGCCCCGTTGCCAGTACCATGTGACCTGCTGTGACCAATCACAGCAGGTCACATGACATTTGTAAAGAATGGATGGCTTCCTTTCATGCCATCCATTGTATAAAAGTGTGTCCAGCTGTGTCACAATGATCACATGCACAGGGTGGGCCAATCACAGCCCATCTGTGTCATGTAATTAGCTGTGGCCAACCACAGCTAATCACAACACAAAAACCTGAATGAATCAATTTCATTCAGTTAAATGCTTGCTTATAGCAAATACGTTTTTTGCTATAAGCAATCAAATTGTGTAAAAAAAAAAACCACTGATCACTTCCCCCAAAGTAGTACAATGTTACTATGGTAACATTATACTACTTTGGTCATAGTGTAATATGAAAAAATGTACTAAAATATAAAATAGGAATTGAAAAAAAGTATCTTTTTATTTTTTAGTACTGTCACCAGTCAGTGTCCCTAATCATCGCCACACCAGTTATATGATGACGCTGTACTGCACCGGTGACAGCATGTAAAAAAGAAATTGTGAAAATAATTTTTTTAATTTCTTCATTTTCCAAAAAATTATGGCAAAAAAATTTACAACTTCAAAAAACTCGCCATTCCTCTTATGAAGTATGTCGGACTGTCTACTTTGCAATAAGGGGTCATTTGGGGGATATCTGTACTGTTCTGACATTTTTGGGCCTCAAGAAATTAGATTGGCTGTCAGTACTTCAGGACTGATCAATTGTCAGATATATCCCATAGTTTGTGGACTCTATAACTTTCCTTCAGACTAAATAATAAATACTGATTTGGGTGTTTTCACCAAGGAAATGTAGTAGAATACATCTTGGCCTAAATTTATGAATAACAATTATTTATTTGAAAACGTTTATAACAGAAACAAAGAAAAACATGCTTTTTTTATCAACATTTTTGGTCTTTTTTTGTTAATTTAGCAAAAAATAAAAACCTCAGCGGTGATTAAATACCACAAAAAGAAAGCTCTAGTTGTGTGAAAAAAATGAGAAAGAATTAGTTTGGATACAGTATTGCATGACCGCGCAATTGTCATTCAAAGTGTGAGAGCGATGAAACCTGAAAATTGGCCTGGGCAGGACGGGGGTAAAAGTGCCCGGTATTGAAGTGGTTAATCAGGATGACACAGGGGCGGACTGACCATTTGGAAACTCGGGCACTGCCCGAGGGCCCGGGGACAGTTGGGGGCCCCATGAGATGCCCCGAGTACCTTTTTCATGGGCTTTTTTGAGTTTGGGCAAGGACACAGGGGCCCCATGATCCCCTATTGCCCGGGGGCCCCATGAGTTGTCAGTCCGCCCCTGGGATGACATCACATGATGCTGTAGTAGTTCAAGCCCATGGAGAAATTAATTTTCTAATTTGTTCGATATTTCAAATTCAGATAACAAATTGATCCAAATTTCATTCTATTTGTTAATTTGGATGCACATTACACCAGTCAATATTGTCCAATCGGTTCATGGCATTTCTCTTAGTGGGTTGGACTAGTATCCAAAAATATTAAATCCTTCTGATTCGAATCCGCCTGACTCAATAATATATCATATACAGCAATCTTCCAGAATAATGTAAACATTTTTCAAATGAACCTGGGCCAACAAATTTTCAAAACGAGTGTTGAAGATACAAAACAAATTCTGAAAACAAATCGGTTCAACATAACGAATAAGACTAAACAAGATTCTTCAATGAACAAATGCATCACAAATGTAACAAACATTTCCGGTGTGTACATGTCTAGTGACTTCCTCCAGGGTAAAACCCTTGGGGAAATCACATAGAGTGGTCATGAAACTTGTTGGGGCAGAGCCTAATGATGTCATCATGCTACCCAGAATAGATTGCTTGTGAGGTAATGCCAAGATCTCTATTTTTTGGGGGCAATACACCTGTCATCAAAGAGGAAAAGGGGGCGCTCTTTACATCTGGAGGAAAATAAATGTAATCTCCAAACAAGGAAAGGTTTCTTCGCAGTGAGAGCTGTGAAAATGTGGAATAGACTCCCTCAAGAGTTGGATCTGGCCAGCTCAGTGGATTGCTTTAAAAAAGGCCTGGATTCTTTCCTAGATACACAGAATATAACTGGATATAACTGGAAAGTTAATCCAGAGAAGATCTGATTGCCTCTCGGGCGATCAGGAAGGAATTTTTTCCCCTGCAGTAGCAAATTGGATCATACTTTGCTGGGTTTTTTTTGCCTTCCTCTGAATCAACTGTGGGTATAGGATTATAACTTTTTTTTTTAATGGTTAAACTGGATGGCCTTTTGACTTTTTTTCAGCCAGACTAACTATATAACTATGTAATATAGACTACTATACACTAACAATACACTGCTATTGCGAGCGCACACTAACCGAGCCTCCGTAGGTATGACAGACCACTGGGTGAGTCAATACTCTAGTTTCTATCCATAGCCAAAACGTGAACATTATTGGACTGCTACTTCTTTGAAAACTCATAACAAATAATTAAAGAAAGCATTTACCCGAGGAATTATGGGACCACCAATGCTAGCATATTTTTTTTTTAAATATGGTTTTGCGTCATGTCTTCTGAAAATCTGTACAGGCAACCTTTTCTTTACGTAGAGCTGCCTACTGAATGCCCAAGGACCTTTAGTTCTAGTCAGATAAATGTTTTGTCTATTGTAGTCCTCTTTCATATGACATAACTCTTTCACGTCTTCCTGATTAACATCCCTACACAACATACTGATGCCTATTCAGAAGCATTTTCTATTTAATCGACCTTCCTTATGTAGGAAGGCCCAGTGGTGAAAGAGAGTGAGAGAAAGGACGGAGCCTTACAATCTCATTGAGAGTCTTTCTCAACAAAGAGATTAGCTGCAAAGTAATTCTATTGTCCCTTTTTGCCATTGTAAATTATGCTGATGTACAAAGGTAAAAGTATCAATGCAGGGCAATTAGCGGGACTTTAGTGGGAAAGCAATACTGAACGGCTTTGCAGAAAAAAAAATATAAAAAAGCAAGTACAAAATTTGACACTTTTGAAGACAAGTCCCCCTGCGATCTATGCATGTGTTTGAAAAACACAGCAAGGAGTTGAAAGGCAGATCTTATCATTGAACAGAGTGAAATGATTGAATATTACAGAAATCTTTCTCCCACTGGGTCCAGTGGACCTGCAGCCATTCCAATCTAGTTAACCCCTTAAAGTGAAGCTATAGGAAAAATAAAACCAATACATGTATGGTACAGTCTGGTATAAGCATTTTGTTCCCTCCCCCAGTCCCCCCTGTAACAGTATTATTAGATGTTGATTCTGCCATTAGAATCATCATTAGGGGGCTACAGCACCTGGACATCTTAACCACCGCTGGTGGCTATTCTTTTATGATTGCGGTCAGTATTTCATTTTTATGTTACATCATTACTTCTGGAATAAAGTGCTTTATGCAGTATCACGCTATGTGATGTCCCTTATTGGGCTCTTTATGAGCGCCACCCTTTCGCCGTATGAAGTTTAAGGAGGGACCCCAGAGGTGTATGAGTGTCTGAGGAACCAGGGAACCTGACCAGGATGGATGACCAGTGAGGACCAGGGAGCACAGCTTTACCTGAGTGCAGAGAACCTGGATGTACTTGATGAGAGAGGAAACTTCTTTCATGTGTATTTTAAACGCACTTCTGGTGAGTGCGCATTTAATTTATTTCCTGCTCACTTTTGGATCATTTACTCTGATTGGCAAAGGAGACCCGGCAGAATTTGCACATCACATTCTTTTATATGTTTGTGGACACTAGACTGAACATCGAATTTACTTTTGAGATGAATATATGATCTAATGTCCTCATCTTTTTACTCTTGAAACTGAGTGTATGTTGACATTTCACCTTTTCTATACATTAGAATCATTGTTTTACATTTTTTACTTCCACACTCATTTGCAAATGTATTTATCACTTGCCTACCGGGTACTTTTACCCCCCTCCTGCCCAGGACAATTTTCAGCTTTGAGTGCACTTTGAATGACAATGGCACTGTCATGCAACACTGTACCCATGGGAAATTGTTAGCTTTTTTCACACAAATAGAGCTTCCTTTTTGGTTGGGTGTTTATTTTTTGCTAAAGAAACGCAAGAAAAGACCGACAATTTAGAAAAAAAAGAAAATAAAACTTTTTCTAAGTTTCTATTATAAAATTTAGGAAACTGGTAATTTTTACCATTTACTGATGTGCGTTGATGAGGCTGCACTGATGGGCACTGATAGGCAGCACTAATGGGCACTGATGAGGGTGGCACTGATAGGAAGCACTGATAGGTACTGATAAGCTGCACTGATGAGGTGGTACTGATGAGGCAACACTGATGAGGGGGCACTGGTGGGCATTAATGAGGAGGCACTGATGAGGCTGCACTGATACGTAGCAATGATGGGCACTGATGTGCACTGATAGCCAGCACTGACTGGCGGCACTGATGGGCACAGATTGGAATCACTTATGGGCACGATCAGCAGCTCTGATGGGCACAGATTGGCAGCACCGTTGGGCACAGATTGGCAGCACTGTTGGATACTGATGGATACTTTTGGGGCTGCACTGATAATCAGGGTAGTAAAAATCAGGCCTTGATTATCAGTGTAGGTGTCTTCCTTCACAGTTGCTGGGTATTGGCAGTACTTTCCGCATACTGTCACAGCATGAGGAAAGTACTGCTGATAACCAAGAAGTGTGTTTTCCAATCACAGCTGATCACACTGTGATTGGCCCTTTACCGTGTCATGTGATCAGCTGTGTCCAAGGGACACAGCGATCACAGAGAGAGCAGAACTGCATGACCGGGCTCATTCGGCTAGAGACCGGTCATCAAGTGGTTAAATTGCATAATTGTAGTCCTTCTATACATATACTGCACATCTTCTAATTGTATGAGATAATTAAATTTCATGCAATAATTAAATTTGTTATATTTTATTGTTTTATAATCTGTGGTGTATGGTGAATGCATTCATTCATGGACACAATTCTCTATCATTAGGAATATTTGTTCTTAGAGCCCTAATGAAGGGGAGTTGTTTGGCCCCCAAAAGGCAGTGACTTTTTTTACATGGCCTGTTTATCATTTGATAAAAGATTATCTATACTTGACCATCATAACTACACTGTATGGCAAAAGGTATGTGGAGCCCCCCCCTTCCCAATTGTTGAGTTCAGGTGTTTCCGGTGAAGGGTATCATTAATGTTACAGCATACCAGGACATTTTGGGGAAGGACCTGTTCTGTTCCAGCATTTCCAGCTCCATGAAGCCATAATTTGATACGTCTGTTGTCAAGAAACTGAAGGTGCTTGCACAGAGCCATGACCTCAACCAGGGGGCAAGTACAACCCAGAGGCCCACAGTGCAGCAACTCGGACCACCTCCTGCTCTCCCTCTTGCCTGCCTCCTCCCGAACCCCATCTCTGGCTGAAGCTCTGCTCCATGTACACTGCTCCCTGGGCTGGTTGGACTGGACAGCGCCGGCTGCACTGACTCCAAGTTCCCAAAATTGACTGGCAGGGGACGGCCTAGGGCTGCAGGGGGGAGCTGGGGCAGCTTGGTCCGGGTTGGCCTAGGGAGGAGAGCTTCTGTTGAGGCATGGATCTGCCCTCTGTTCAGACATGGCATACACCATCCGTGCTGGGGGAGGTGGCCTGCACTCTTTCCTTGTCCTCATCCTGCAATTGGTAGGACACTGGTGGGAACTTTTTACTTCACTTCACTAGGAATCCTTTAGGGATGTCTGTGTTGGAAGCAGTGTAACCTTTTTATGGGGCATCAGAGCGGCCTGGGGGCAATTGACCCCTGACCCCGGCCAAGTCCGCTCCTGACCTCAAAACTACTAAACAGTGTTTGGATAAGTTTGAATGTAGGTTGTGAGTCAAGTCTTCTTCTTCACCATCATTACTTCACAAATTCTCTTTTGGCTAAATGGGCACAAATTCCCAGAGAAACACTTCAAAATCTAGTAGCAACTCTTCCCAGAAGAGTTGAGTTTGCTCTGCACTCATGTGCCCCTTTTTAAACCATTTGGTCAGAATCCACCCAGAAGTTTGGCCGGCAGTTGGCTCAGCTTCTCAACGGCCTGAGCCTGCCGCTCACGCCCCCTCCACAGCCCATCACTACAGCGAGCATTGGAAGGGAAGAGCAGAGATCTGGTGACTGATGGTCACCGGCTCTCTGCTCAGGCAAGACTGAGAACTAAGCAATCAGCGGTCTTTGTTCGCTAATCTCTCAGTCATAGAAGCCTCAGGCGACTGATGGACTGAGGCTGCATCCACCTAGGTAA